AAAAAGAAAGACAATTTGTGTCACGTGGCCTATGATGTATGCGGAAGTACTTGCAAGAAGAATGCCAAAACAATCCGGTGGACTCCACGCTGCACAGAAGTGAGTAACGAAATACAATTAAAAGCACATTTACAATGAAATCAGACCTGGAGCGGAAAGAGAATTCAACAGTCAATGTATTAAATTAATTTTAAGAAGCGGACTTGTTGAATGTTACAGAGTCGTTTAAGTGATACGATCTTTCATATACTTGGAGAAATTGCCTGATCTAGCGATAACATTTTGGTCTGTACAACAGGTATCGCTGAATTGTTGGCCTCTTTAGGTTTCCACATTAATCCAGTGGCGGTGATAATTAAGATGTCCATCTGACACGTGTTGCTTTCCTGCTTTCCTTTCCACAGTCTGAAGCCTTGTTAAACAGAGGAAATGTCGATTTTCCCACGAATTTCCCTGAAGCCTGAAGTGACTGAATATCTTAAGAGTGTCTTCTTAAACAAGGAGGTAAGAAGACTTCACATGCACTTCTTGGAATCGCTGTCTTCCCTTTCAAATGAAAAGATAACTCACTGAGGGAGTAGTTAGGATGCTACAAGTCGTCATTTATCGGCGTGTGCTTTCATTTAGCTGTTACAGTATATTTTCTGCAAATCTCTCTCCGCATAACAGTCACGAAAACCCTTTGAGAGTTACAAAACGGTTACATGTGACTTTCTAACAAGAAATATTAAGTAATCTTTAACAGAAGTCCTGCTCCCTTAAACACTGATGGGTTCTCTCGTTCATTTGTTTTTTACAAATCATTCATATTACATTTCTGTTGTATGCAGTCAGGCATTGAAAGAGCTCAGGAAACATTCTGGATACTGATTCTGAAAAACTAGTTAATTTATTCATTACTTCTAGGCTGGACTATTGTAATTCATTGTTACTGGGTTGATCTGAAAGCTCCCTAAAAGCCTCCAGGCACAACAAAGAAGCATCATATTACTCCTATGTTGGCATCTCTTCATTGGCTCCCTGTTAAATCCAGAAAATGAATTTAAAGTCCTTTTCCTCACATACAAAGCCTTTAACAATCAGGTGCCGTCATCTCTTAAAGACCTCATAGTAACTTATTATCCTAACGGAGCTCTTCATTCTCAGACTGCGGGCTTACTTGGGGTTTCTAGAGTTTCTAAAAGTAGAATGGGAGGCAGAACCTTCAGCCATCAGGCCCCCTTCCTGTGGAACCAGCTTCCAGTTTGGGTTCAGGGAATAGACACCCTCTGTGCTTTTAATATAGTTAAAGTATAGAGGTAGTTAGGGTTGGATCAGGTGACCCTGTCATTAGATTTTTGTCTATGCTCTTAGTCTGTATTTTGCAGAAAAGCACTTTATAAGTACCAGTCTGTTTACCATCTACAAACAGTTCTTTTGTGTTACTTCATCAACATAAAGGCACACTGTATGCTTTTTATTACCTAACCCTTCTATTTTATTAGGTTTTAACGGCGGTGGGTCATCAGGAGGCAGAGCATCGTTTCCACAAGCTGCTCTCATGTCTGTCTCACCCACCTTCATACACCTGCGTACGAGCCAGCACCCATCTCGCCCCCCTTGAGGAGATCAGGCAGCAGCTGGCAGAAGAGCTGAGGAAGGTGAGTCTCTGTCTGGTAACAGAATGTAGAGGGCGTAAGAAAACCCACACAATGGGCTTCGGTATTTGGTTGCAGTGTGTTGGAGTCATGCTTATTTAGTTTGTCATTGTTTTTCTAGCAGCTGATGTGCAGCTCGTCAGCAGAGGAAGTCTCTGTGCAGATTCTGCCACACCCACGAATTGCAGATGTGCTGATCCTTCCCGTTGAAGGTCCGAGGTATGCGAGGAATGCTTCAGATAACTCTTAATCTGCTCTGTAGAGGTCGCACTCAGCACCACTTGGGCCTCTGAGGTTCTCCAACAACACAGGAAATATTTCTGATAACAAAGGAACAACAAACACATCCTCAGATAGCTGCCAACAAACTGTCAGTCAAAGAGAAGAACGGCATTTTTGTGCGTGTATCCTCTGTAACCGTGTGATCGTTCTTTGTCCTGTACTCTCAGACCTGTGAAGCAGCTCGGCTCAGAGGTGGTGGTGGGCGCTCAGTGTGGCGGCGCCGTACTGAGAGGCGCTCACGTCTTCGCCCCGGGGATTCTCGGCAGCCCCAAATGTAAGACTTAACCTGTTAGCAGTCGGACGTACCGCCCACGGGACATTGGATGGTTTAGGGGACTAATTGGACTGCTAAGGGGTTAAAAACAGTAGAAGTGAAGTGAGGCTGTGAATACTTAGAGCAGTGGTGTCTTTGTTTTCTTCACCTGCTCTGTGATTTGGAAGCACGTTTTACTTTTTGCCAAAGTATCTTCATTTGTTCCAAGTGTTGATTATCTTCCTTAAACCGAACCGTGTGCTGTTTTGTTTTCTTGTTAGACATGAAGGCGGGGGATTTGGTGTCCGTCTTCTCTGACCTGGAGGGCAAGTGCACCCGAGGAGCCACCAGCTTCCGGGGGAAGAAGGTATTTGTGGGTAATGGAGTAGCGGAAATGGACCGCTCCACTATCTTCTGCACAGATGAGCCTGCCAGGTAAGTAAACACTGTCTTTTTTAATTCCATATTCAGACCGTTCCACAGTTTCACTCCATGAGCAGAAACACAAAAGCTTTTTCTAGTACGGACCTTCCCTGTTTTGAAGTTAGAAAAACCCCTTAAATTATAACTTCCTTCTTTCAAAATAAACATACTCTGAATATTACCTGGCAGTTCTTTATTTTTTGCTTTGAATAGAATTTGTTTGAAATAATTTATGGTCTCTAAAGAACTCTTGTATGTTTTGAAATGCTATGTTGAAAATCCCTTGCTCTTTTTTAAAAGCACCTTGGACAATGTGGATAGAAACTTTAAATTTACTCTTCATCTTAGAAACGTGTTAGCTGATTAGTTGTCGTCTTTTTTCCTTTCAGAGGTATCGGTATCCGAATGGTGGAGCCGCTTTACAGAAGTCCGTCCTTTGATGGTGTTTTACCTAGCCTAGCGTTCCTGCAGGTATTTTTTATTAGAGCCGCAGTGAGCTAAAGTCGGTGTAATAAACTAGAACCGCATTGGACCTTTATTAAAGTGGACCTATAATTCTGATTTCCAAAATAATCCGTATTTTCTGTTATAACTGGCTTTGTTGTAGCCCCTCAATTTATCCTATGGCTCAGATAAACTGTCCTGTATTGTTCTGGAACAGCTGCACCTTGCAAACAAATGGTTTGAGCAGCAGGTGGATCAGGAGTCTGATAGGATATCCGCTCTTTATGACATCATACTGATCCAAGAATTTAAAAAACTGCCTAAAACATTCCTACAGAATGACAGACAATGTAGAATAACGTATTAGGTCCATTTTAAAAAGAGCAGCAGTGAGGTTTCAGTCTGAATCAACCAGGAACTGTATTGTATACATGTTATGTCCACATCACTGCCCATACTGAAGCGAATCCATGTTGCGCAGAACCTCCCGTCTGTGGTTGTGGGACACGTGCTCGGGCCTCGCCCTGGGGAGCGCATCCTGGATATGTGCGCTGCGCCTGGAGGGAAGACCTGCCACATTGCTGCGCTCATGGGAGATCAGGTTCTTGTGTCCAGATGCGATCATAATTAATATTCAGAGTATTTTTGTTTTTTTTTAATGCAGTGATTTGACTGGTCCATGTGGATGGTATGTTGCCCATGAACTAGAATGAATTTGACACCAGTGATTTAGATCTAGGTCTCAAGCAACACTTTACATTAACTGTTAACATAGAAAATGATCCAAGTGGAATTTAAGTACATTTAAGGTCAGCATCCGTACCCCACCAAAGGGGCCCACCACCACCCCACTGGGGGGCTGGTCTGTGTCCAGCCTGGAGGAGAGGGCGGACAACAACGCGTTCATCTTTGTGTAATAAAATTAGTGATGAGATTGTGTCCTTGTTAGCATTTACTTGATTTAACTAAAACGTCTCCTGAGATAAAAACAAGCAGTCTAGGATTGTAATTTGTGAAATTTCCTTCCTTTTTAAGTTGTTTCTAATATTTTTCTTTTTCTCCGACACAGGGAGAGGTCGTAGCCTTGGACAGGATCCGGAATAAGATCGACCGCATTCGTCAAAATGCACAAATGTTGCATTTGCAAAGCGTGAAGGCGCACTGCTTTAACAGCACTCTGGCTGTGAGCAGTGACCCAGCACAGGAAACTGAAGGTACAGTCCAGAGTTTATCTATGATGTAAATCTCCGGGGTTCATAATAAATAGGTAGCAGCTCAGTGTCTGTGTTTCCCAGGACCTCCGTTCCCTCCGGAGAGTTTCGACCGGGTTCTGCTCGATGCTCCCTGCAGCGGCCTCGGACAGAGACCCAACATGGGCAGCACCTGGAGCCTCAAAGAGATCTGCTCCTACCAGCCACTGCAGCGCAAGTTATTTCATGCTGTAGGTTTTACTTCACACACATAAACCACGTGTTATCATCTTAACATCACAGCAGTACTAGTGTTCTTTAACCTGCAGGTGGCAGCATTGGATAGAAATTCCACTGCAGCTTGATCACAGCTCAGATTTACTTGTTTAACGTCACTGTGAGGTTTGAAGCTCACTTCTCAGGCTTATGTGCAGTTTTACAAGTCTGTTCAAAAGTGCGCAGAGAAAGCAAACTGTCATTTCAAATTTCTGCGAATAACCTTTCGAGACCTGATCATTCTCTGTGATTTCGATTAAAAAAGTTCAATTGAATTCAATTTTATTTATGTAGCACCAAATCACAATAACAGTCGTCTCAATGTGCTTTATATTGTAAGGTAAAGACCCAACACTGATACAGAGAACACAGAGAAAACCCCAACAATCACTTGCATGGAAACCAGCGCAGAGGACATGCTTCGTTAGAGCTTCATCAGTGTTTCCTATTCCTATTTTATTTACAATTAGAACACAGAAACCACATCAAATGTTTAGAAAATGAAGATGAAGCATTTTAAGAAAAATATGAGGTCACTTTGAATTTGATGGCAGCAGCGTGTCTCAAAAAAGTTGGAGGAGGCCGTGTTTACCGCTGTGTGGCATCCCCTCTTCTTGTAGCAGCAGCCTATAAACATCTGGGAAGTGAGGAGAGCAGCTGCTGGAATTTTGGGAAAAGAATGTTGCCCCATTCTCGTCTGATATAGGATTCTAGCTGCTCAACAGTCCTGGATCTTCGTTGTCGTATTTTGTGTTTCATCATGTGCCAAGTATTTATAGCTGGTGAAAGGTGCAGGCCACTTCACTAGTCAGAGAATCTTCTACTATGAAGCCATGCTGTTGGAATAGATGCAGTGTGCAGTTTAACAATATTTTGCTGAAATTTGCAAGGCCTTCCCTGAAAAAGACAGTTTGGAGCAAAATACCTGCATATATCTTTCACCACTGATGTGGCCTTTCCACGTGTGCAAGTTGCCAATTCACTAATGCACCACTACACCAAGAAAGGCAGTCTTTTGAACTGAATGCACACCCAGAATGTGATAAATGATGAGAATTAGAGATAATAGATCCGGTGTGTTTTCCTTTCTCAAGTGGCCACAAGAGGATCTGTAATTTATTTGGTACTTAATTTTAAACCCTGGAGGTTACCGCTAAAAAAGAGCAGCAAAAAATGAACTGAAACCAAATAGTTTTGGTCCAGTGCTTCTAAAACTCACTAAAAAGTTAATAAAACCACGATTACACTGACTATAAAGCGAGTACATGAATACGTAGCTATCTGTGTCTCTGCAGGCGGTGCGGCTGCTGAAGAAAGGTGGTGTTTTGGTGTACAGCACCTGCACAGTGACTCTAGCAGAGAATGAGGAGCAGGTAGCTTGGGCCCTTGACACCTTCCCCTGCCTCTCACTTGTGCCACAGGTAAAGCACTTGAGCCACATGGACGTGACTGCAAATGTAAAAATCACAAAGTGAAACCTTTTTTTTTTGTTTTTCAGGAGCCCCACATCGGTGCTGAAGGCATGCCTGGAGCCGGCCTTCCACCTGAGCAGCTGCGCCTCCTCCAGAGATTCAGTCCCGAGCTGAGCTGGGAGCAGACGGAAACTACAGCCCCGCTCCCCTGCAGAGCCGACAGCGACACTATCGGCTTCTTTATCGCTAAGTTCCTGAAAAACTAACCCGAGGGCTCGCGCTCTCGCACGGGGCTCATATGAGACAGCAAAACGGGAACAATAGTGTTTATATTACGACACTCTGTGTGCTTTGACGGGCCAGTGTTGACAAAGAGCTCCCTGCGCTGTTTACAGCATCTGCCTCTTAACAGCTGCTCTCTAAAACCGTGGGCCATATAGGGATAAGCTTTATAAACACCAGGGGAGGGTTGGATGGAAGAGGGTGGTGGTTGGGGGGCACGTGGCGACGGAGTCTGGATGAGTAACGGCAAATGCAGCAGAAGCAGCACTGCGGTTGCTATAACAACAGTGACGACACAGCTGCCATGGTGACGGATTCGCTGGAGAATGGATCAGGAAGTAGGTGTAGAAAGAGGCCATGAGAGGAATTAACAATTTAGTGTCTTTGCAGCGCTGGAGACGACTGGGACATTTAATTAGGACTTCTGGAGCCTGCAGGAAAGAGGAGACGCTTGTGTTTGGCTCAGTCTCTGCATTCATCAGAAGGAAATGTTGCTCAGTTTTTCAGAATAAGAGCACATTTAAAGGGAGGCTGTTTCTGTTTTTGGAAGTGGTTAAGAGTAAAGATGTGAGAGGAAAAAGAGATGTTATTAAAATGATGACTTCCAGGATATTTAGACCTTTTTTAAATTTGTTTTTTACTAATAAAATAAGAGTTAATTTAGATAATTCCTTAAAAACAAGATGCCAAAATAGTCCAGAGGTTTTTTCATGATGGTAGGGTTTACTCCTAGAAGACCTTTGCATATGATCTCAAACCATTTGTCAATTGTTGTCTAAATTCCTTTTAACTAATTGTATTTAGCAGAGATTAAAAAGAATTTTAGCTAATTTTTTTTCCTTTTTCTCTTTTGTTATTTATTCCTTTTTATGCAAGCAAAACACAAATCGTCTTATATTTGAACATTTAGTCAACACATCCCAGACAAACGTCACGCACTGACATTCAAAAAAATACCGCCACCTCTCATTTCTTTATATTTTGCTAGAAAAACAGGCGCATAGAATATTACTATACAGGACAAAAAACTGCTAAAGAGCTTGATAGTCAGTATTTGTTAGGACCATTCTTCAACACAGTCTGAGTTTTCTTAGGCAAGCTTTCCTGTAATTTCCTCAAGTAGTCTTCAGGAATAATTTTCTGGGCTTCAGAGCTCTTCTTTGGATGTTTGCTGCTTGTGTTTCATTCTCTGTAAGATCATCCCAAACTGCTTCATTGATGTTGAGGTCTGGGCCATGACTGATAGTGTTCCATTGTGTCTTTTATCCAGGTATTTTTTTTATTGCATTGGTAATAATTTGGATGCATTGCTCAATCAGACCTGTTACCACTGATTTTAAGCTAAGTTCTTGCATAACTTGGCATACCTCAAATTAAATGTTCTCCCTGTTTGCTTTCCTAATCATTGGCTTCTTGACAGCCATCGATTGTTTTTGCCTAAATATACAATTTAGTTGCTTCTTTTCTCTGTTGTATGTTGTACAACACTGGCTCGTCTCTTCAGTTAGGTGCCTTTTGTGCTTAAATTACTAATTAAAATGGTTTGTTAGACAGAAAAGGCTTAAAATGTTACAGAAACATCTGGCACTTTTTCATATTCATTAGAATATTTGGGGTCTAGATACTTGGTGCGATGAAAATCGACATTCAATGGCATCTTATTTCTCTGTGTGATCTTATGATCTTCAATTTTTCAAAGCTTTCTGATGTTCCCATAATGAAAGGCTTGGTAAAATAATTGATTCTCCACTTCCACTTCATATCTGCTCACACACATTATAGTCTGTTACATATTGCTACATGTTCACACGTGCTTATGGTTGCCAAATATAGGAACTAATTTATTCAGTGCAAATTTAAAATGGATGTCCAATAAATCCGCAGCCTGTGTGCAATTTATAGATCCGTGCCAGCAGTGCACCGACATCTGTCCCGTTCTTCTGACACGCAGTATTTTGAGGACCTTCACTATGACCTCAGCTCAATCCCCTTTCCTGGGAATAACATCAGACTCTTATCAGTCCACGCACACATCTGTCTGCGCTGCACTTCACCTCCCTGCATCTAAGCTGCATGTGAGTGCGGACTCGCTGCACCACTGAAGATTTGTTTTTCCCCGATTTCACATTAAAATTCAAGATCAAATATGCCTCATCTCCGAGTTTGTCTGTTATGAAGGCAGCTGTGAGTGTGTGTGGAGGCACCTTCCTATTTTAGATGCATCCCCTCAGCATTGTCATTCATGTCGGGGTTGTCATGACAACTCAGGAGGCAGGCCGGTGAGTCTACCTCAATTTTTCAGTGGAGTTTCAGATGACTATTTATAGACGCACCGTTTCCCTCCTCTGTCTGGGTCTTCTGCTGACACAAACATCAAAACGGTCTCCCACTGCGTCAGTCGTTTGTTTCCAACTTTATTCTTCGTATTTATGCAATATGTACACATGTACACTGTTATAAAATCTGTAGTGCTACCAATGTAGCATAGAAATGGACGAGTTTTTATAATTACAATTATCAGGCAAAAAAAACATTTAAAAAAAAGGTGAGGAGATGGTGTGTAAACAGAGGGCCAGAGTGCACGGACTCAAAGATCAACTAAAGTCTATTCAGGTTTTGATGATGTTGTTGACTCAGGCATATAGAGCAGGTAAAATATCCCCAAATCCATTAACCAGATCCTGTATTTTAATCAGAAGAGTGAAAAGAGGGCAAAAACTTAAAGGCAATATTTATCTGGTAAACACTTGGAATTATTTTTGTTTCTTTGGAATTTCAGAAATACCCACACTGAACAACATATCCTAAAATTAGCATTGTTTGTACTAAGAAATCAAAGTAGGACTTAAATGGAATTCATTAGAAAAGGGGTCAGGATTAATCCAAGATGAATCATCAGGACCTACGATTTGGTGGGAATGTTATATCAAATCCCTTTCACTTGAAACCAATGTGAAAAAGCCTGTTCCAATGTTATAAAATGTTTCTGGACCCATACAAAGAACAGTACTGCATGTGTTGAGAGGAAGTTACTGGAGAACTCTTTGTCTGTCTTGTAAGGCAAGACTAAGGTGCGCCTGCAAGAAGGCATGAATATGTTAAAACGTAACATCTAAAACCCGTGGAATCAAAAAAAGAAACTAAGCAGTAAGTGATGAACATAAAACGAGCAGTTTGACACTTTGGGAAATATGCTGTTAGAGTTAGAGCGATACCACTCTCATATACGAATCCCCCTCCCCCAGTAATGCCACAACCTGTTATTTGTAGGGTTTGTACAGATTTCACCAACACAAAATGGTAATTGTTGAGCTTTTAGAGGTGCTGGTAGGTGGTTTTTACCTTCAGAGAAACTGTTCACATGAGCTCTTTCCTCCTGTTTATTTGTGCTAAGCTAACCTGCTGTTGGCTCTACATTCCTACAGATATGAGAGTGGTATCAAGTTTTTCACCTGCTAAAAATCAATGCAGTCTGATATAACAGTGCTGCATTTATGAAGAGTATAGTATTCAGTTATTTTTTAAACCAAACAGTCATTGATTCAACTTTATGATTATTCTCAAATCTGTGATTTATACTTACTAAAGTACTGAAAGATGTTAAGCTTCTTAGAGATGCTACGCTTGGCTGATCCCTTACTCACAGTGGGTAGGTTTGGTAGAGTTTTTACACTGGATTTTCTTCTTGACACAACCCCAAAAGGGATTTGTGTTTGCTGTTTTGTCCAGTCTACCAATCAAAGTTGTCTCCTTGTGGACCCCTTGATCACTTCAAGAACTGCTGCTATTTTAAGTGTATTTCAGACTATTTGTAGTAGGACATTTATAGATGGTACAGGCCACCATTCAGGTCCTCTCCCCACAAATGCGTGCCTCAGAACATTCGTAAAACAGTCTGGTCCTGGTGGATAAACTGACAACTATGTGAATCTTGAAAATATGAAGACAAAAACGAGCATGGTCCTGACCTAAAGCACTGTCACTGGGGTTGGACTCTGTTTGGTTGCTTGGTTGTAGACTGAAAGCTAATTATCACGATGAGTTACAATCATGATAAACCTTAAAGCTGATCTGTTTAAAACAGAAGCTCTTTTGAGGTTTGTGGTTAAATCAGCACAAATGTGCAAGGTCTCAAGTGACCTAAAAACAGGAGCAGCTCTGAAAGCAGTCCAGAGGTGTACAAGCAGACTACTTAGAAAATCAGTAGTTTCTGTAGTTTTCAATGTAATTATGGGAAGTGTTATGGCTAACACAGAGAGACAGGCAACCATTCGCGCGCACATTCACACTTATGGGTAATTTGGATTAATCAGTTAACCTATCCCCACAAACTGCATGTCTTTGGACTGTGGGAGGAAGCTGGAGTACCTGGAGGAAATCCACGCAAACACGGGGAGAACATGCAAACTCCACACAGAAAGACCCTGGCCTGCTGGTGGAATTGAGCTCAGGACCTTCTTGCTGTGCGGCAACAGTTCTAACCACTGTGCCACCGTGCTGCCCTACACTCATTAGGTGTACATAATAAACTGGCAACTATGTAGGCAAGTGTTATTTCCCAAAGTGTCAAATTATTCTGCAACTACAACATCAAAGTATGATGGCTGGTCAACCCTCGCAGTAGTCTGAAGGAACAAATTATTCAAGTGGTAGCAAGCAATACAACTTAATAATAATAATAATAATATTAGAAACAAAAATTATAATGCTAATCACAGAAAGCACAGCTCAGTACAGAAAAAATTCTGCTTTTGTGTCATGCTTTATCAAACACAGGTTTAAAATATGCATATTTGAGAATATTCATGCATATCCACACATAAACAACGTCTATGCATAGATACACACATACATATATTCATATATTTATATTTGTATCTATGTAATCAAAATCCTGCCATTGAAAAAGATGCAACAGCATTTACAAAGAAGTGTACATAAATAGGATGCTGTGGTTTTTCAGGGTATAGCAGCACGATGGGAGGACAGAACAGAGTCCAGGAGGGCCTTGGGAGGGGTTCTGGTCTGTCACTGGTGGATGTATGAGTCTCTGGCCCATTCCCCTGCCTCACCCCTCTTTTTTGGAGCTACCTCCCCTTCTCTGTCCCTCTCTCTGTCCCGGTCGTAGTAGTGATGGTGGTGGTCGCGTGCTGGCCGGTGGTGGTGGTGAGAGCGCTGCTTGTTCCGCTCATTGTGGTCCTGTTCGCGCTCTTTGGAGCGCTGGTGTCCCGTGCTGTGACCGGCCTCGTCCGCCCCGCTGCGGTGATGGTGGTGGTGGTGATGGTGGTTGTGGTCCCGGTGGGGCAGTGGCTCGTAATGCTGTTGCTGCTGGGGATGCCCCTCCCCTTGATCCTCATCGTCCTCCTCTTCCTGCTGAAGACGCTGAGTGCGCGGCTCAGTACAAGCCGAGTCCTTGCTCTCTCGACTTTCTCGGCTCTCCCTGCTCTCGGGGGTCTCAGAGTCCAAAGTCTCTTGCCGGGAGAGGCCCTTGGCTTTACTGCTGTGATGGTGGTGATGGTGGTTGTGATGTTCAGTCCTGGTAGAAGATGACCGGTGGTGGACGTGCTGGGATCTCCTGGATGACTCTGTCCTAAGAGGCCTCTCCTCCTCGTTGCCCTCCTCCTCCCCCTCTGCGTCAGCATCGCCCTGGTCCAGGCTCTGGTGGTGGTGATGATGGTGGTGACGGTGATGGTGGTGCTGGTAATCCTCTCTGGAGCCTTTCCCCTCCACTTTATCTCCCTTCTGCTCTGTACTGTTTCCCTGAGATTAGCGACACACATCAGTCAGTACGATGGCACATACAAAACCAGAAAACATCACAGCAAGCACACGCAAACTAAAAATCACATCACCCCAGTTGTTTCACTTAAATTCACACAGAACTACAAAGAAGAAGATGTCACACTTGAACACACACGCTTTCTCGTCAAATCCATTCACGGCCAACTCTGACCCAGGAGTAAGAACTCAAAAAAGCAAGGCGTGCTCCTCGGCTTCAGCTTTCATCACTCGACCTCGCCGCACTTACCACACTAGCAAATACAAGCTCACTCCTGCTCCTCATCAATATCAGCGTTTTCTTCACTCTCAGTCTTACATTGTGATG